TAACACAGATGTTAATTAATTTTATATATAATCTGAATTGAAACATCAAAGCCTAGAGAGCAGTATCTAAGATTATGGAAACTACTCATCAATCATATCAGCTTACTTGTCTTTTTTTAAATTTAAATCTTTACTATTAGTTAAGTTATATGGAGTACAATAATTTAGAATTTGTTAATATTAGAGTAAACACAATAATATTCAAAGAGAAACATGATGATATCAATTCATTTATTATTTTTTAATTCAAACTTAATACAACCATTAATGCTAAAAAATCTGTTTCTTATTTATGTTTATTCATTTCAAATAAAGTTAATAAATAAAAATTCTATTAATGGTTTTTAGTTAATATTTTCCTAAAGTATTAAATATAAAATTAATATATTGAAAAGATGAAATCGTACTTACAAATCATAAGTTTATCATTTATTAATCTTTAAGAAAATATTTCCTTATTTATTATGTTTAAAAAAGGGATTGATATATGGCTATATTAAAACAATAGGAAAGATATGATACAACTTGGATGGATAAAAGGAAGGTTTATGAATAGAACCTATTAAGGATTAAAGAATGTAAATCTAAATAAGTAGTGGTGGATGTTATATTGAAGAGGGCCATGGTTTAAATTAAATTATAGGATGGAGTTTTCAGATAGATTAGAAATGCTTTCTTTAGTAACATTGACTGGTGAATATAAATTTTGTAAAAATTTAGAAATTAGTTATAAGGCATAGTGATTCCAAAAGAAATAAATAAGATGTAAAAAATATAAGTCACTGCTTAATTTTAGTGGTGATGGATTGTATGAAGAAAGTGGTATTAAAATCAAGGTAGGTAATGGGATAGAAGTTTTGGATGAATTTAAATCTTTCATTTAAGTAATGTATTAGATTTGAATATCAGATGGGATATTGGGTTTAATTTTTTAGAAAATTATAAAATGTAAAATAATATTAAATGTGTTTTTTTAGTGGAGGAGAATCTTATGATTAAGAAGGCTAAAGAATTAAATTGGGTAATTGGGTGTAATTTTTAATGAATTTCAAATTTGTCACAAGTTATGAACAATGATGAAATAAAAAACTCTAAAAATTTTGGGATATGTGCTATAGGTATTATGAATAAAGTGAGTTTAAATTGATGTATTATTAAAATAAAATAATTATAAGGTTGTTTTTATAATTTATTTTTTTATAAGCTTATATTAAAAATAGGATATATTAATATAATTTTTTGAGAAAAGTGTTCAAATCTAAAAGAAGTTATCTATAAAGAAAAATAGACACTTAGATTAAATAATTATAATCATTATTTTCATTAATTCTTAATAAGCAAAATTTAACATCTCCTATTTAATAAAAAGCAGCCTTAAAATAATTGCTTAAACATAAAAATAAGTATAATTGATTATTTATTTTAAACTCATTCCTATTGTTATAGGCATCTTTATTTGATTTTATCGTTATCAATAAATTATAATTTTGAACACTATTTAGTGATCTGATAAAATTTTTGTTGTTGAAATGAAAACTAAAAGATTAATCTATATTTAAATTATGGTAAAAATAGATCTAATTCTAATAATAACTCTAATTAAATAGGATAAATATTAAAATAAGCCAAAACTGCCTTTAAGATTTACTTCATGAATTTATAAATTCCAGATCCTACAAAAAATATTAAATAAACCTGAAGAAAGTAAATTAGCTCACTGTAAGAAGAAGTAAAATATATAGAACTTGATGAGATTGTTTATTTCATAAATACTAATTGAATTTTGAACTATAATAACACAAAAATATTCAAAGTCTATCTTATAAATAAGGTATTGAATCTCTAGCTGATTTTCAATATTTGTAAGACTAGAAATTATATGAAGATTTCAAACTACTTATTAATTATCGATTGATACAAACCATGATTCTCTCAAATTTATAAAAATAAATAGTAAACTCAAAGTGATTTTATCACTATNAATTGTATTGTAATGGCTAATAATCAGGTTAGTTAGAAAAATTAAATATTAGTTGGATTTTTATTTGCCTGTCTTTTGTTAATCTTATTCTGAATGCCTAAATTAGTTTTTATCGGAGTAATTAGATGAAAAATGTCTTGCTTTTATTTTTGTAAATGATTTTAGTAAATCATTAAATACAATTTTCGATACTGTATTACCTTTCAACCAAAATCAATAATCTAATTGTTTATCTTGGTTAGTATTGATTATTTTCTCATTTATTGCTGATAATTTTGGTAGAAAATTGTCATAGTCAATTTCTGGGGCCATGACTTCAGTTGAAGCCCTCTTAGTTAAAGTATTCTATATTTTTAATATTTAAGTTTGATATGAACTAATAGATGTTAACTACATTATTCATTTATTAATGAACTTTCCTGTAATTTAATTATATCAAAGATTTTATATAGAGAGTAATTTTAGGGAGGTCTAAAATGTTGGTGTCAAAGTGTTTTTTCTAATTTGTAAATTTGCTATAATAGCATTAGCATATTTTATTACGTTTTGGAAATGGTTAGAAATTACAGTTGCAATACCATATTTTTTATAAATTATTGGTAGTCTTTTGATATTTGAATCTTCTTATTTCTATAAATAAGATTAAGAAAATATGACATCACCTTTTCCTTATTCATGATTATATTTAAATATATATTATTTGTAAATAATATTAATATTCACTTTCAGGATTCATTAGATTTAAATAAGAATACTATTCTATTAAATTGAATATATTGATGGTCTAATATGATATTAAAAAAAATGTGATTGTAGTAAATAGGATTATAAAAGAAATACTTTTATGAGATCGTTCATAACACTATGATATTAAACTTGGGCTTAATGTTAACAAAGACATATTCAATTTATGGGTAAGTATTAAAGGATCAGATTCCAATATTACTATCATTTTATAACACTATAAAATAAAGATCAAGATCAACTTTTGATTCTTACTATAAATATTTGAAAGTCATAATTAAGCTTTAAAATTCTCTAATAATAACTTATAATTAGAAGAACATACAAAAAAATAATAAGATTAATATTTTATTAATGTAATTAATCTAAATCATAAAAACTAATTATTTATGAATTAATTCATATTTTTGAAATTGTTCTTTTTATTAAAATCGAGTAAAAACCAATTTAGAGATGAAATCACTTGTTTTTAATAACTTAATTTCATATATCATAATAGTAATATATCTCCATAAAATCATTATTGATTTTATTTAATATTGTTTACGATTTTTCAGACCAAATAAATATAGGGTATTCCTAAAGATTATATGAAATCGTATGAACAACTAACTAAGGATGGTATAATGGATTCTACTCCAAATAGGATTTATAAGATTGATTAGTATTCTATATTTATAAAATTAGATTATTTAAGCAATCTTTTGTCCAATTTAATCTACTCCACAAGCTTATGTTAAATTTTCACTTACAAAATTTAACTTATAATTTCTCTAGTAAATTTTCAAGTGGAACATCAAAAATATAACATTTCAGGCAAATATCAATTCACAATAAATAATTATGATGATATATTTCAAAGATTTTGCATGAATCTTGACATAAACAGCTATTACCATCTTAAGAAATAATATCGATAAGATTAAATTGAAATAATTGGAGGCTGAATAGGCAAAATGCGAACTGGAATTTAATTTTTAGTTAAACAAATATTTTCTAAAGCATAAAGGAATCTATATCATTTGGATCATGAATTTATATGATATTAAAATATGTTCTAGCCTATGAATATCTTGATGTTACAATTTAATAATTCTGAAAAATCAGGATTGTATTTTAAAATCTTAGAGGCTTTAATTAATCAATCTATAGTTAAAATTGATTTCTATTTCAATAATTATAGAAATGAGTAAATTGTAACACAGATGTTAATTAATTTTATATATAATCTGAATTGAAACATCAAAGCCTAGAGAGCAGTATCTAAGATTATGGAAACTACTCATCAATCATATCAGCTTACTTATCTTTTTTTAAATTTAAATCTTTACTATTAGTTAAGTAATATGGAATACAAAAATTTAGAATTTGTTAACATTAGAGTAAACACAACTATATTCGAAGAGAAACATGATGATATTAATTAATTTATTATTTTTTTAATTCAAACTTAATACAACCATTAATGCTAAAAAATCTGTTTCTTATTTATGTTTATTCATTTCAAATAAAGTTAATAAATAAAAATTCTATTAATGGTTTTTAGTTAATATTTTCCTAAAGTATTAAATATAAAATTAATATATTGAAAAGATGAAATCGTACTTACAAATCATAAGTTTATCATTTATTAATCTTTAAGAAAATATTTCCTTATTTATTATGTTTAAAAAAGGGATTGATATATGGCTATATTAAAACAATAGGAAAGATATGATACAACTTGGATGGATAAAAGGAAGGTTTATGAATAGAACCTATTAAGGATTAAAGAATGTAAATCTAAATAAGTAGTGGTGGATGTTATATTGAAGAGGGCCATGGTTTAAATTAAATTATAGGATGGAGTTTTCAGATAGATTAGAAATGCTTTCTTTAGTAACATTGACTGGTGAATATAAATTTTGTAAAAATTTAGAAATTAGTTATAAGGCATAGTGATTCCAAAAGAAATAAATAAGATGTAAAAAATATAAGTCACTGCTTAATTTTAGTGGTGATGGATTGTATGAAGAAAGTGGTATTAAAATCAAGGTAGGTAATGGGATAGAAGTTTTGGATGAATTTAAATCTTTCATTTAAGTAATGTATTAGATTAGAATATCAGATGGGATATTGAGTTTAATTTTTTAGAAAATTATAAAATGTAAAATAATATGAAATGTGTTTTTTTAGTGGAGGAGAATCTTATGATTAAGAAGGCTAAAGGATTAAATTGGGTAATTGGGTGTAATTTTTAATGAATTTCAAATTTGTCATAAGTTATGAACAATGATGAAATAAAAA